AACCAACTTGACCAATGAATGGAGCCTCCCAATCGAGTCTGGTAGCTTTTCTAATCGTGGGACTATCAAAAATTTCAACCTTTCTAGGTTTCCAATGGAATAAGGTAATTCTCTAATGCTTGTCCCTGTGACATCTAGCTCAAGCAGCGACTCCAGTTGTCCAATAGAGTCGGGAAGCTTTTGAAGTTCAAGGCATGCTAAGATTAGATGTTTCAGCTTCACTAAATTACCAATCGAGTGAGGCAACACTGAGAGTCTTGTAGAATTTATTCTTAGCTCTGTTAAAGATTGTAGAACGCCAATGGATTCTGGTAGTGACTCGATATCTGTATATTCTATTTTTAGCTGATCAAGATGCTGTAGATTGCCGATGGACTCGTCAATCATACGTAGTTTAGTGCATTGATTGAGAATCAATATCTCTAGTTTCGAGATTGCGGAGAACGGGGGTGTCTTTGTAAGGGACATACAATACACGAGTTTTAGGACCTTCAACTGTTTTGCTACCTATAAAGCAATTGAGTTGAAACTCAGAAAAGAGGAAGAGCAAATGTAATGCAAAAGTATGTCGTGAGATCATACCATGATTTGACACCATCCTCCCCACTCGTCAGTAATATTATTCCTAAAAAGCTCAAGAACTGCTAGGTTCTTCAACCCAAAATTGGTAGCTCGGAATTCCAAAGGGCAATTGCTCCAAGAGAGCCATCTTAACTCAGAGAAAAGATCCTTAAAGTCTCCTTCCAAGTTTACATGGCCCAATTGAAGGAACCTAAGGTTGACCAACCTCGCAAATTCCTTGCATTTAAATTTGTACATCACACCAGGTTCAAGTGTGGCAAGATTGAGCGCTATTATATTCTTAGTTCCCTGAAAGATAAAAGTAGCAACTAATGAGTACATGTTTCAATTTGACTTGAAGTTAGATTAAAAGGTAATGATACTAATGGATGGACATGAAAACATTTAGAGGTAAAAATTACCTTTTTTCTCTGCACTACATGGAAGGCGTCCTTGGGTGACCATAATCTACTGGCCCTTAGACGTGTGTTGCAACTTTCCGGGTGGACAATATCCCTTCCGAGGTCTCTAAGTTGGTCGTGCATCCATAATTTATCATAGTCCATGATCTTTATAGTGACATCCGTGTGAGGATCTTGACTTCAATTTCGGTGGGATACCCAAAAACCGCATCCCAATATTTAATTGCGTTATTTTCTCTTGGTTAATGAAGAAACATGCGATATCAAGAAAAATCTGTTGTTGGCAAGAGTCCAAGGCCTCATAGCTTATCATCAACTTCTTCTTGACATCCTCGTTCATCACTTTCTTTAACTTACATAGGACGGCTTCCCATGTTCTATGGCATTTTCCACGGAGTGTGGAACCTACGACATCAAGAGCCAACGGAAGTCGTCCAAGCACATTGACTAACTTATTTGAAATATCTATATAATCAGCCGGAGGCTCGGTACATCCCAAGGCACGCTCACAAAAAAGTTTAAGAGCATTGTGTGAATTCATCTCTGGCATATCATAGAATGAAAATTGTCCGCTTCTAGAGTCTTGGAGATTGTCATCCTCACCTTCCTTTACCAGGAATTCAATATTCCTTGTTGTTATGATGATTCTACTTCCTCCACCAAACCAATTGGGCTCGCCTGCAAGTTTCATGATTTGGTCCCGATTGTCAATGTCATCAAGAACAATGAGGACTTTCTTGCCATGAAACCTCGTCTTGATCATGTCAGCCCCTTCATCAACGAAGGAGAGGTTTATGCAGCTCTGATTGAGAATATCGGACAACAATTTCTTTTGTAAGTTTATTATATCATGAGTCCGAACATCTTTAATAAAGCAGCAATGACCTTGAAATTGAGGGGAGATTTGCCTGAAGACGACATCAGCTAGCGTTGTCTTTCCGATGCCACCCATACCATGAATCACGATAAACCGTACATCCAAAGCTCCTAGATCTAACTTCTTCATAATGTCATCCATTGGGCCCTTAATTCCCACCAAATGATCAGGCACGTCTATCCGTCTTGTCCATAACAAACTAGAAACCTCTTTGACCGTGAGATTTTTAAGTTCATCTAGGCTGCCACATACATAAGATGTAATCATCTCAAATTGAAAAAACCAAATATATGGAAACCGTGCATGCATTACGTGGCACTGGAAGGTTATCATCAAGTTCCAAGTAATTTGCTTTTAAAGCAACCAACACAGAAAAAGTGATCATGTAGCTGTGAGCCATTGGAAAACAAAAAACCAGAAAAACAGATTCTTTCAAGGGGAGGAGGCGGAGGAGGGACCTTCATCACAATTGAAAGCTACTACTATCAAGGTTCACTGGCCCAGTAAATGGCGGGAAAAGGTTATTTCATGACTGAGGGTCTAATTAGGCTTCGACTAGAAGTCGCTCCGACATATTGTCACCTAATAATTGCCACGCGCAGTTGGGTTGCAACAGGTTGTGCACCTCGGTTTCATTCCTTTCCCTTCCATTTCAGGTGAAATTACCAAATCATTCCTAAATCTATTCAACATATGCTAATTCAGTCTTAAACTTTTCAATTTTAATAATGTGGTCCTAAAACTTTACATGAAATTATAATATAGTCATTCTGATCAATTTCTTTCGGAAATTACTGATGTAGCAATCTACGTAAAACGTCATTTTGAGTAAAATTGTTCACGTTAGTGTGTCACGTAGGATGGCCAGTGATGATTGGACACCACATTAATACTTTTCTGCAACAATTGGCCAAAATGATTATATGAAATTTCACGCAAAGGTTTATAACTACATTAATAAAATTGAAATGTTTAAGAGTGAATTGGCTTCCATACAATAAATTTAGAATTGCTTCAATAATTATGTCTCCATTTCACTTTATACTTTTTTTACAGTGGTTGGTTTCTTCTTGTCACACATAGCGAGACCTCTAGAGGTTTGCCTAGATATCAAGTCCTCGGTAAACCCGGTCCTAATCATCTATCTCCTCAAGCACTTGGGATGAGTTTGAAGGTGGCAAAAGAAAAAATCTCACTAAGTAGTTTCCTAAGCATTTTTCTTAACGTACACGAAGATCGGGAATACTTTCTAGAATATATATCAACCTTAATTTGAGCTACCAACAAACATATCTCCAAATAAGTTACAACTAATTTGAGGTTACCAATTCTTTATTGATAACAATAATACTGGGTACTTTAATCGACATAAATTGGTAAGTAACTCAAATTAGGGTTAGTAATTTAATAATAGTTCGGAGCCTAATAACATAACCTTACAAATAAAAGTTGGTGAATTATTAACAAATGTTATTATAAAGATTGGTGATTTTGAAACAAATTTAAATAATGATAAGTGGCTCAAATAAGAATGAGTAACTTAAACTAGTTAGTTTTGACAAAATAAAAAACTTAGACTAGTTAGTAACTTACTTAGAGATTAGTTAATACGACACTTATATTAGAGTTAGTAATTTGGTACAAGACTTGGTAACTTTGAGATGTGAAGTAAACGATAAGTTAAGTTGTACAAAAGTTGTACATCGGTAAATGATGTAATAAACTTAGTAAATGACCCAAATAAAAGACGGTAAGCTAAAACAAGGTGGTAAAATAATTGAAAAAGAAGTTGGTAAAACACAAATTAAAATTGGTAATTTCATATAAAAATTGATAACTTTAAAATTTGCACGGCACGGGATGGGCATGGTCGGTAATGGGCCTGCCCTTCCCCATTCTCGGATCCACTCGTTCTTCTTCCTCCATTGGCAATGATGTTGGAGGATATAGTGAGCAGAACAGAAACGGTAAGTATTAATGAAGAAGGATGTTGGTAAGCAGAGAGTAACGACTAGGGTTTGTAGAAAAACCACCACAAACTAGGGTAGAGAGTAGCTACATATCTCAAGGTAATTAGAATTGTTAAATTACTTATCCATTTTCTAGAGGTTCCTAGATTTCTCTAACCATAACTATAACTACCCAGAAGTCCCTTAGGTGAATTTTTGGCTAATTAAGACCTGGGGCCATGAATAGTTCCATGGTTAAAGCAAGAACACGAACCAAAAAAATTTTTTAAAACTTTTTACTAGCATAAAGGGTGTTTGACGGTGACAAATTATAGATCACCTATAGAAGAATGTTCAGTTTAAGGCCGCAGATTTTCCGTCTGCATAATTAAGCCACTGGAGGAGCCTATGACTCCTGCCCCACCACAATGAAAGTAAAAGCCCAAAATCGATAATCCACCTAAACCTAAGTCAGTCCTTTCCAAATTAACTCAGGTTTCCTGTAATCAGAAATAGAACGGAGGATTGAGCCTCTAAGATAGGTAGAGATCATTTTTATGTTCTTTCGGATAATGGCATGCAAAGATCTTTGTAGTGTTCGGTCTTGTATATGCAGACCAACTAGAAAAACCATCATACAAAAGCTCCATTAATTTTTGTGTAACTCAGGGGTACGACCGTATTTGACCGATGACCTCGAGGGAAACAGTAGCAAAACATATGAACTCCTTAAGGCTAAAACCGAATCCACAACGATCGATTCCTCTGCTAAAAGTATTGGAACGTCTTCGTCCCTGGGGCAATCCCAAGGGGGTTCAGCTCCATCATTTCTTCCCCTTGGCCATAAGTTTTTGAAAAAAATATCCCTTAGACTTCCTCTATGTTTCCTGCGCATTTTTTCGTCTCCCTAGAATAACTTCAAACACTAACAAGTATGAACTAACTATCACCATTAATAGGTCGGAACACATAAAGAGCCTCCTTAACTGAGCTCTCCTATTTGGGGCCGATTCTTCCTCAGCTTTCATTAGTATAACAAAAGAAAAAAAAATCTAATGTCAAACTCAATCTAATTTTTTAGGCATAAGGTCGAGATACCAGGAGTCCTTAACTTTATGTACAATATGCAATTGAAGCTGAGAAACTTAATTATTTTTTTTTTTCACACATATATGGTCATACTGTTTTATCACATCTTAGATCTTCAGGGATATCTTCGTTGTTTTCCATTATAGATTAATTAATTAAGTTGAAATACCTTAACACTAATTGTTATCAAAACTCGGTATTAAAAATGAAAAGTCCATTTGTGCAAGAAACCTCGCCCTCTAAGCAAAATTCCGGGCTCCCCATTGCGTCAAATCTAACCAAACATTACACATGGTTGGACAGCAGCAAACTGAATCTAATTATTCTTTGAAGGAACAAGAAATCGAAAATGTCAATAAGAAAATAAAGTCAATGGAGAAGCAAACAATACCCGTGATCTTTTAGATTCCTTCCTCTAATTCTGGCAACCTCTCTTAAAGACTCCTCCCACTTCTTTGCTAAATCCTTCCCGGAGTTGCTCTCATGCTTTTGGAGGGCTTTCCGATATAACTCGGTCTTAAGCTTGACATCATCCGCGTCCACGTCGTAGAAGATAGGGAGGATCACTTT